AATCAATTCATTCATGGATGTAGAAGACTCGAAACAACTTCAGAAATAATCACGACGAAAATTTTAACAAAATTACGCAATAACAACAAGACACGAAAACAACAAGTAAACACAATGAATCCAAAAAACACCAATTGATATGACACACCACACGTATATACAAATAGTACAAACAACCTCGCCGATCATGTCTTGGTGGAATTCCTTTGAAGAATTGCAGGACTTACACCAGTACGCCTACAACCCTTCACAGGTTGACGATTGTAAGTTGTGGAATGTCCAGACACAAACAAGATTAACCAACAATTACATCAATTGGAACTCACACAACTATTTAACACAAACATATGTACAATCAACACATCAAATGTTGTGGATTCTGACACGACAAACTACCCTTGAAGAACTGTAGGACTTACAGCAGTACGCCTACATTCCTTCTCAGGTTGATGATCCAAGTGGAAGTCGTCCGGACACAAACAGAATTACCAACAGCTAGATGACAAATGATATCAATTCAGTATATACAATATGAACATATGTACAAAATCACACACCAAGCACATTGGACTGCTCATTGATGCGCTACCCTTTGAAGAATTGTAGGACTTACAGCAGTACGCCTACAACCCTTCTCAGGTTGACGCCCTAGGTTGGAAAATCGTCGCAGAGTTCATTTGCTAACTTCCTTCTATCAGCTATATCCTCAAATCTGAACGGCAACACGCCCATGTCATTGTATCGTAGAATATAGATGACCAACAAACACACGACATATCTCATCAACCAAGTATAGAAACAGAGTAATTTACACCAAAGATAATAACATTCAAATAGTAACTTGAAACTAGAAATGCCTTTATTCATGCAAGTCAATTTAACAATAACTCTCTCCTTTACACTTGGCTTATCCACACTAAACTGACCATTGATATTCGTCCTTTCAAACGAACTGATACTACCATAGTCATTGCAGAAGATACTAGAGTTGATGGGCATCTGTTTCATTGTGGATGAAAACACCAACGATGACTGAGTGACACAAGGTGATGAACTTAGTGGTGGATCAGAAGCTGTTCTTGTTCGGCTCTCAGATAGTTGTCCAACTGCAAGATTACCACCACTGCTGTCTTTCACTACTAGTTCAGGTTTAGCACTATCATCTGATGATAGGTGGGCTACATGCTGATCAATTACACTGACTGTCTCACAAGTATGCACACCTTCTGGAACTGCATCTGCGTTCAATTCTACTTCACGTTGTAGTTGTACAGAACCTTTATTTAACTTAGCAGTAGTAGGCATATCCCGCATCTCATAATGATCAACCAAAGACAAATCTGCACTATCATGATCATTACCACAAATATTCAATTTACCGTCAAGTTCATCATTTTCAAACTCTTTAATAACAGAAGTAGACAATTTTGGTTCCTCCTCAAAATCATTAAAGGTTTTATAACTTCACTCTGACTAGATATACTTTGTAAACTTGTGGAGTCAGAACTCCACTCTGAAGCAGTAACTCTATTCTGTGACACTCTATTCAACAACGGCTTACCAGTTGCAACTACAGACTTCTTCACAACACCGTTATCGTCACACAATTCGGAGTCAGACCTGGAGTTTACATTTAGCTTATCACTGAACTTGCTCACTGGTTCACAGTTCACTTTTGTATGCACCTCTTGCAAACGAGTACAACACAACCGTGTTTGTCTTGCATCTTGCAACTTATCTGTTGAGGATGTACTACGAAACCTGTTACACTCACTAGATCTATATGCATTACTAGACATCATGGAGCCTTCTCGATATCCACCTCTCTGAGGCTTATTCGTCATCAATGAGTACGTTTTCCCCTCAGACTGCTCTATTCTAGGGGTGAGATCTAACAGACTGGCGAACTTGCTCATAGATTGATTGACACTAGTATTTACCAGTTTCAGGATATCATCAAACTTTGGCTCGATACCCTCATCCTCCATACGGGAGCTTATCTTCACCCACTTCCTTTGCAGTCGGGTAGGTAGACGTCTTGCTATTACTTCTAGTATAAAACTCGAGTTGAGGTCACTCATTCGATTCATCGAAATCATTCCATTCTTGTAAATTAGCAAATTATCTAAAAACTCAGTGAGTGCCTGGGAGTCATCCTGTAACTGACCACCATTACCCTCAACAGCCTCGAATAATTTCCCTGCAATCATCGAGGGTCTTCCAAACCTTTGGCGTAATATGCTCATAGCCTCATCGTAGCCCTCCTTTGGCTTCATAAACTTACAACACTGTATAGCTCTTGCAGCATCTCCAGTGCAATATCTCATCAAATACATCAATTTCAATTCATCATTTAATAGAAAACTATTCAGCATGATCTCAAACTCCTTTACAAATTGTAAATAATCAGCCGGGTTTCCATCAAAACACCGTGGTTCTAATTTAGGGAGTTTGATGTTCCTATTATCCCTGAACGGCGAAACAGTAACATCAACCATATCATGTTTAACATCAGACACATCGTTACAATTAACAGACAAGTCACCATGACTTACTTTCCTGTTTGCATCCAAGACACTCTGTCCCTTCTTTGACCCAGGCATTGTTGAACTTGACCAAATTCCAAAAAAGTTCCAGATATTGCTTGTTCAAAGAGGACTTGACCGGCACCAGGAAAAATGAACGGCGACTATCCAAACTTTCACCAACTGTTTCAATCCGCCAGATCTGTTTCCATCGTTAGAAACTGTCATCAAAGTCTCATAAACCGTTAATGCCCAGCTCTCGCTACGCTCGGGCCCACGCTGTTCTTAGAAGATTTCTGAGAAACGCTTAGTAACAACGGACGAAAAACCAGAACACCAATTGTTGACTTGAGTATTATGTATTGTTACACCAGCATATAAATCAAGTATCACTAAGCAAACTAAGAAAACTAAGGTCTGTAAACAAATATTACAATAATAAATCGTTATGTTACTTCTAACGATGTTTAACTCTTCTTTCTGAACAGCGACCGATGAGACGATGACTGTCGTATTGATGCCTCCGCGAAAATCGAGGAAGTTGATTTTGAGCAAACAACCAAGAATTGATCGTTCAATCTTCAACTCCATTGACAACGAATAATTCCTGAGAATTATCATAAACTGTCAATGTCCAGCCCTTACTACGCTGGACCTCACGCTGTCCTTGGAAGACTTTCAGAAACAATTTGTAATAACCAACTCGAAAAACCGGAACACAAATTGGGGATTCAACAGCCCTTTATTCTTGCACCAATACATAGCCAACCATTAGGTTATTGTACACATGACGATGACTGCACTATCTATGACTTTCACCAAAATATAGAGTTGGGTTTGAGCAAACAAACATGAATTGATCGTTCAGTCTTCATCTACACTGACACTGCTTGATTCAAGGTGAATACTAAATATCAAGTTGTTTAATTTGTGACCACAGCAGGAGCAAACATGTTTAAGATCTTAAGCATATAGGAACAATCTACTTGGGGCGAAGCAGTTAAAAATGCTGATGTAGACTTTAAATAGAATTGGTTCCCAAACACTACTCGATACAACCTCGTCTGTGATCTGCCTAGGGTGAAACAACACAGGTTCGAATTCAGCTATCCACACCCTATCGCTTAGAAGTGAATTTAACCAGTTAGGTAATGGATTATTAATTTTACGGGAACAAAGCCTCTTGAAAAGAACATTACTACGTAGCACACCGAATGATCTTGATATTTCAAAGTAGAGAACAATCACTAGTTTGTCATGCTTCGCCAGTGTAACAGAAGAGTGCAGGGACCATATAAAGAGGCTATGCTAAATAACCCATGCCTACCGCTTCGGTGCGTGCGCCCATTCAGTGGCCCTGACCAAGTCTCATTCGATGTCTTATCAAGAGATACAAACAGCACATCGATTCAGGCAGCAGAAAGCCTTAAGCCAGATACACTAGCCGATGTGCGTGCTTTTACAGCTGCCTAGCGCAAAACAGGCTTACGCAAAGAAAGCGGGACTTCACTTCGTCGGGCCATTGTCATAAAAATATTTATCCGATTTCTAGTGATTCCTGCATAAATCAACCTGATATTTACACGGACAATGGATCAAAGAACTACAGAGACAGAAAAAATACTGTATGGGTAGTGCAGTACAATAAAAGTATACGCTTCACTGAGTCACAAAAGCCAATAGGAATTACTGATGAGCGGAAAGCTGTAGATATTACACTACTTTTTTTTCTAAGCCGCTTGCAGTTAGGTGACCAGTTGTTTTTTTGAATTTAGAACACCAGTGTTTTCTGATGATGAAATAACAGAAATCGACGGACCAATAGAAGGATGGGTAGTTAGTGGACATGGTAACATTATTTATCAAGTCACATTTGGAAGAGATGTGGTATTCATACGAGAACTAAGTGCGACTGTTTTCATTGTGTAGCAGCTAGGTAACAATCAAAGGGCTTCTTACGAATACCTTCCAGAACACATTCAGGATAATGTGCAGAAAGAGTGTCTAGAAAGCGAATGACCTCTGAATGAATGTAGAACCAGACACTTGGCTAGGGTCACTTGTGCACAGAAAGAGATATGGAATTTTTAAATCGACCGGAAGTGTTTTGCCATAAGGCTTGCTTTCCAGCCTATCCACAAATTAACCAGTCACCAAGAACGTTGTTAAGAGAGTGGCTGACGTTCAGTATTCGTGCACATGCGGAAGACAAAGTGTTGGTGGCCATCTTCAACACAGCAACTGGGAAAAACTGATAAGGATATATAGACTAATTATCCTAATATTCCTAGTTCAAGTTCTGTTACAAAATTAACAGATAACTGCTCATTAGAAACTTGAAAAATATTTATCGGTTTCAGGTATAAACGAAGTCAACCAGTTCATTCCACTTCATAGCTAAAATATTCTGAGGTCTGAATTTAAAGTTGGTTTGTTTAAGTTAGTGATAGTTTGTAAGCAGTATCCAACATAGAAATGGCGGCTAGGTATAGAGATGTCGGGGCAAAAGTGTATATTGGTGATCTGCCCAGAGAAGCCTCTGAAAGAGAACTAGAACGTATATTTCGAGAATATGGGAGGCTGCGTAATGTTTGGGTGGCAAGAAATCCCCTGGCTTTGCATTTGTTGAGTTCGAAGATGCTGCAGACGCAAGTGATGCTGTTCGCGAGCTCGATGGGACGTAAGTATAAATACAGAACCACATTTTACGTTTTATCTAGAGTTATGTGTGGCGTCCGTGCAAGAGTCGAACTAAGCACTGGAAAGTCACGACAGAAGCCCTGGGTACGTGGTGGTGGAGGCGGTGCTCGCAATGGCCCAGGCCGTGACAATGGATTTGGTCCTCGAAGATTGAAACCGTTTGATCCCGCAGACAGATGTTACGAATGTGGTGAACGCGGACATTATGCTTACGACTGTCGTCGCCGAGGTGGTGGGCCAGGAGGTCAAAACGGTCGGGGAAGGCCTGATGGCCGAAGAAGGTCGAGGTAATTCACCTTACTCGCATGTCGTCTGGTATGATCTCAGCTCCCATGATACGTTATCAACTGTCCACAGTTTTTCATCCAAGTACAACAGCCTTAGACTACATCAGCATCCTACCTTGCGCCACTAACAGCTTGTTATCGAATGCTGTCCGTAGCGGTGACTCGTCACTAGCACACGGAATGTACTATGAAATGACTCAGCTCCATAGGTACTTCACTCAAACTTTGACATCTTGCTTCATTGTGACGGGCATGATCTTTTTGCCCACGGCATCTGTGAGCCGTCGACGACGTCGTCGTGTCTACAGACAGCCTGATATGTTAACGTCCGTAGAGACCTACAACTTGTTTCCATTCACGTTTCAACGTGTAAGTGCATAGTTTTGTTAGCATGTACTTATGTAATAATTTGATTTGTTTTTTCCACCGCCCTATATTCATCATTTTCTTTTTACAGGTCCTTCTCGGATCATAGAAGTTTTTCACGAAGCCGGAGTCGTTAATTCAGCTGTAACCTGTCTACGCTCTACGATGCATTTCTTTTTGAACTCTTCAAAAATACGTTTGCCCAAACGGCCTGTTTAATAAATATAATTAAATAATCATCCAAAGCTATTTTCAGCTGTCTAAATGGGCTGTACGGTATAACAGCTTTCGTATGTGATTGGAGTGTAATCATTTCAGGCGTCGTCATCCTGCAGATTAAAGCTGTTATGTAAGTCAGGTAATTTCTACCAACAAGTAAATTGAGGTGAGTGGTGGCAATGCTAGTTGGATCCACCATTGTGTCGTTTTACAGCCGCAGCAGTTGATTAGCAAACAAGGTCGTCATCCTTACGGGGATGATACATATGATTTACCTCAGGTAGTTGGCTTCGTGATATGTCAATGCACCATACTTTCCTTTGTTTTAAATCCACTAGTGTCATAGTCTTCATGTCTTGTCACCTAGAAACTTACATTTCACGACTCACTAATAGTATTCTTGCACTTTAACCGGTATCATCGCACCGGGTTGAATTCATTTCGTTTTCACCCTGTGAATTGTGTCTCTATGTAATTGTTAACTGCATCTCAGCTAGTCCCTTCTTGTGGAGTATTGCTATAACAAGAATGACGTGCTAACCGGATGCACTCAGGTACGTCATAGAAGTGAGTCTTATGGTTTAGGCGCGCAAGACTGTTATGCTGGGTTTTTCATTATTCATGTAGTAGTCAGTTGTTAGCTCAGTATAGGTTCGCTGATAAACCACCGAGGAGGACAGCTCTGGTCTTCAGGACCAGTCAGTGGTCCACCACTTCATTTATGCGTGCATCGGTGGCACAGTGGTTAGGACTCTGGTCGACCATGCACATGGTCCGGGGTTCGAGCCCACGCCGACGCACACCTGATATCTATGATCGGCCTGCGAAATTTGGGCTACCGATATCCACTCTGAAAATTCCATACTTGTACCAGAAAAATACGGTGTGGAATCAAGCTGTATTCAGAAATAAAAAATTATGCGATTGAGTTCTAACTCAACGTCTGGCTGAGACTACGCAGATACATGAAGTGACTGCAGGTGTAACTCGCGTTAGACTGACATTATAAGGATGCTATAAGTTAGCATGTGTGGTGGTCGAAGACACTTATTGAGACGTAGCAGTTGTATGGGTCAGTTTTCCTGAATACATACTGTAAGGTACCGCGACCGAAACTTGATTCACTTGTTTTCATCAGGACTATCACTGTACATGTTTATCTGCAAACCCTTACTGTATGTGAATGCAAACAAGGCCTATTTAGGGAGCAGAATTCTGTGGACTCACTGAGACAATCTAGACAATAGCATTTACACTACGGCTCTATGGAGTCATCTGTGTAAATGGTAAATATAGATATGCAGGTGAAATTGGCTGAGTCTGTGACATTTCACTTAAAACAGAGTGTTGTTTGTGTAAGCCGACACGTGTGGGTGGCCTCTACATCTAACACTCACCAGTTGGGTCAGATATATCACCAATTGCATTGATAAAGTATTTCTCATCGCGAACTTATTTGTAAAGTATATCGACCTGTTCCTTTTTAAACTCTGTTAACAGCTTATTATGCTCTTCTCTGTTAGAAGATATAGAAATTTTCACACCGAAGGCTGCAAATTTTCTCACCTCCACTATCTACTGCTAGTACTTAGTTTGGACTATAAAAGCATAGAAGTTCATTTAATAACTTGTCATGGAATTATCGTAAATTAGTTATTTCGAACTGAATTACTCAGAATGTGTATTTTATATACCAGGCTAAGGGCTACATTTGTCGTGAGCGCTGGATGTAGGCATAGCCACACATTGACATTGGCAACTGCCTTAGATTCCCAATAACCTGTCAACTAATAAAAGATAAGGCTGTTTCAGAAGTTTTTTTGTTAATATAAAAATGTTCTATTTAGTGCAGATCATATTGGTCAAAATATACTTGGGTGTACAAAATAATTTGAAAGAAATTATTAGATTAACTGATAAACGAAAAAAAAGTAAGCAAGTAATAAGGGAGAGAGATAAAACAATCTCAAAATCATTTGAAAAAACAAATAAAAAAGTAAATACTATTAACATTTTTAGTACGCAAAATAATAATAATCAGTTGTATGTGCTGTATGCATAATAAAAAGTATGCCTGAGACAGCTTTATGAAGGTATATATTATATCATATTAGTTCGAGAGGGAATCTTAATGATTAGCGTAATCTGAAAAGACGATAAAAGAAAGAAGGATGAGATTACTGTATATATATATATATATATATATATATATATATATATATATATATATATATCACTAAAGTTAGTTAGTCTATTTGAGATTGAAAGAAATGGCAGTGTGTAGATTAATCAAGGTGTTTCACATAATTCATTATCCCATTGAATAGCTGTTTCATATAGACTTTTATAAACAGGATCACATGATATTGTAGGATGATGATCAGTTCGATTACAAAACAAGGCGTTTATAACGGATTCATCAGTCAACCAACCAGTATAAGGGCTGGTACTTGTGCGTGGTGTAATTGTTTTGTGATAAGTAGTACTACATGTATGATTTGGATTTAAAAGATTTCTGTAATAGGCTGCATCAAATGCATAACCACCCCCGTTGGTTATGCGTGTAGAACGATTCCATCGATACCATGCATGAATCCAGAATCGAGGGAAGTGTAGTGGTATGAGAGCTGGAGTAAGTATTCCTGTTGACTTCTCAACACTTTTTATTAGCTCTGTGTAGTCTGATGAATTAAGCTGAACCTAGAATAAAAAAAGGATAGAGCAGTGAGGATAGTATGTACACTCAAAGAAATAAATTCCTATTGAATTCTCTCCGTGGATAATACTTTTCAATTTCCTTGCTCATTTAGATCGTTCTCATTAGGATTTGTATGTAGAAACTGATTAGGTTCGGGAAAGTAATACATAGTCTAAGGGGTGCGACACGAAAACGCTGAAGTTTGCAAATAGAGAATCAACGTTATCAGATTAGGCAAAAGGGCATGACTGAGACGACTAACGGATACAACTAGTAACAACTCTTCATAGTCTGTCATACATCTGCGGTATTTCGATTAGAGAACTATCGTTAGTAATATTATGTTATGTCATCAGTACTTTGACACATGTTTGGCGGATACATTTTTTAACGGAATATAATTTCAAATTTAAAGTCAAATGATTATGATGTTATATTTTTATAATAATCTGATAAGAATTTACTAGAAAGAAAATGCGTTGTCCGTACTAACTTATAATCCAAGGTATGGTAATATTCAAGACTGTAAAACTATGTTATCGTGATAACTAGACGTGGCACACAATAATCCTTTCGTACCAAGTGGTACATAGGGCTTCAGAAGCAAATGATCACTGCATTTTATTTCTTTCTCACACGGTCATGGTCATTCTCACACTACCAACTCGTCCCTATTCAGTCGAGGACCTACCATTCATTGGTCCAATCCATTTCGATTTTCTGCATATTTGCTGAGCAATAAATTTCCTGGTTAGTTCATTACCGGAGTTTCTTACCGTTAATCGGGTCATCTGGTCTTCAGTACCGAGCTAGCGAAGGCAGTTGTTGATGGTCGTTTGCAGCAGGCTGTTAGAAATGCTTTCAAGTGGTCCGCGCACCAGGTCTCCGAATCATATATAAGCATTGACTTGATACTAGTGTGGGAAACTAGGACCATCTTCTTTACTCTGTCTGCAGTCGATTTCCTTACTGATTCCAAAATAATGTAGATCTGTCTTGCTTTTCCGATCCTGGCTGGCTTTGACATCCCTATGCATCTCACCGTCTGCCCAGTTAGGCGGAAAACACCACTTCTTTCGGATTCATCCCGTTGATGGTGATCAGCGTTTTTTTTTTACTGTTGTCAGTGTAGTATCCTCATCACTTGCGTCTCTTATGCGTTCATCTAAAAGCCTCTCTTCTGCCATATGTGTAATTCTCAGTATGTCTTTTGTAACGTGTCATTTTCATAACACTCAGATCAGCTGATGATTGGTGAAATACGTTGCTTTGAAAAAAAGGTAAGAAGGTGGGACACTGTGGTCTTACCTACAAGCATCAAGTGCTTAGAAGAATTAAAAACTAAAAAACGGCTGGTAAGTAGAACACCACTAGCTAGATAATCCCATAACAGTAGGCTGTGCGTCGGTGGCACAGTGGTTATGACTCGCCAACCATGCACATGGTCCGAGGTTCGATTCCATGCCGACGCACACCTGCTATCTATGGTCGGCCTGCAAAATTTGGGCTACCGATATCACATGCTAAAAATTCCATACTTGTACCAGAAAAATACGGTGTGGAATCAAGCTGTAATCAAAAATAATAAAAAAAACTGACAAGTGTCGCATTCAATGATTCCAGTGTGGGTAGGAAATTTATCAACCACAAGTAATCAGAAAATATCAACTATGAAACTATCTTAAATCAGAAAGTGTTTCACACACCTACTTTATTCTAACTTAAGATTTCTTAAGGGTGGTGGTATGCACGCATAACGCAATAACAGGATTAGAGATCAAGACACAGGAGAGTATCTTTCCATAAGAAACAAGTCATTTGGACATGATGATTATTTGTTAACTTGTCGAGAAGTGGGGTCACTGACTTAAACGTTTAGCTTTCACAGCTAATCCCGGCCGATAACTGCTACTTTGTCGTGGTGGTCGGGCTTGAATACCGTAATGACCCAACATGCTAAACTGACTGGGACTCTGTCCCTGCAGGTCCTATCATGTCAGGAAGGTTGTTTGGATAGCGGTTAAACTAAAAGCAGTTACCATGGGGTACACGGGCTTCAGTATCCAATCGGATCAAATGGCGTATGCACCCATATGGGTCGCCGGAAACCATGAGAATGCAGCTCCTGACGCTGCTCCGCTGGCTTGCTGATTAGACTCCAAGTCAAAGGCTCGGGGGGTGGTCCCTGAATAAAACCACCTGCTTCGGTCTGGGCACCCGGGCAGTATCTCAGCCCTCACACAATGAATTGAATAAAGCAACAAACAACCAATAAAACTTATCGCATGCTATTACGCGTGTTGCAATTTCCTTCTTTCTTCCCTTCCCGATGACAGTTAACGAATACTGTTTGAACTTGTTAAACATGACTGTTTTCCTTCCAGATGAAGTTCTTTAACCGTTCTCTACTTATAAATTTTTTCTCTTCTTTCTTTTTCTTCTTTTGACCTATGTTGTTTTATTATTATTGTGTGGCGCATCCTTCTTGGTGCCATATTGTACCAAGCTTTTATGCGTTTAAATAAATAAATATTTCACAGCTAATAGGTTTAAATTCCACTCCATATCTACTTCAGCCGAAGTAACTGGGTACTATCATCAGTTTTCACACAAAAAGTGTCGTTCACATAGCCTGATACCTGCAAATCAGCAGGTTGTAAACACATTTTAAATACTTGCGAGAATAAAAAACACCATTAGAGATCAGATTTTAATAGATTAAAACAAAATGAACAAGAGAAATTACTTTATATGCAAAATATAATGATGGAGTATTTTCGTCAACGAGGTTTCAAACAGGCCGCCACCTGATCTGTTCTGAGTACTTGAGTGGATTAGTTCTGTCCCGTGTCTGTCTGTCTGTCTATCACTAAATTTTATGGTAATATAGGATCTTTACTTATAATACAGTGAGCAGTAACTTCCGTTTGGTGTGAGTTTATATTATACTCAGTTTACTACATGACTCAATGACTCTAGAGGACAAGACTATTTATCAGAATTCACAGTTAGACGAAATACTTCCACACACAAACTAGTGAATTGAATAGATCATTCATTTTGATAGTTGGATATAAATCACCGACAGTACCCATTGAGTCATGAAGAAAGTATAAGACAGATTCAGCGAAGAAAATTCTCTTTATCGACGAAATCATCCTCAGAGGCTGGCTGTACAGTCGTATTTACACTCACAAAAAAATATATATATAGTGGTCTATTATTGAGTAATAGGGGGTGACATAATTGATATAATTACTCAGAAGAGTGGCTTTAGAAGTGAAAACTAAAAGTTGTAAATTACGTGGTACTCAACGGAACAAAGATAGAAATTTGATAAGGTTACACTTGTTGTTGAGAGAGAATGAAGGTATTTGAGTGTCAATTTAACAAGTGTGAACAGGGTGTGAAATGTACAGAAGGAGCATATAAGAGTGATAATAGTGAATTAATTATTAAAGCAAAAGTAAACAAAACGTAAAATTAAAAAAGAAAAGGAAAAGTCAAAATCTTTTTTATAGGTAGAATAAGAGCCTGGAAAAACTTTTTCTGTACACAAAGTTCAGGGTTGTATTGACGAATCGCCAGCGCTTCCGCCATACACCAAAGCCGAAACCTGACTCCCTTTGCACCATTTGGCTTCACTTTGTAGATGATCTTGAAAGACGACTATAGTGGAGCTACGTGGCCTGAGTTCACCAAATGCTCGAGAATTGAGCTAGTAATTGTCTTGCATTGTCCCTTCGCTAACCATGCCGGATAATTTTCAGAGATGCGTTTGGAAAGCGTGCACTTTGTGGGGCCAATATAACTAGCTCCACACGAGCAGGTGAATTTATAAACACACACTGAGGTGGCCCAAAGCGGCAGTTTATCCTTCACACATCCATTGACCACTTGTCAGCTGTAGAAATTAATACGTAGCTCAGCCATAAAGAAGGCTTTCCTCAGTGATCTGCATAGGCGATTCTTCAGGATATCAGCTGCGGTATCACCTCTAAATTCAACACTCATAAATAACAGTTTCTTCGGCACCGTCTGCATTTTTTCATGTTTTTCTCGATAAATCTTGGAGGATATCCATTTAGTTTGCTTTTGCTTCAATAATTAATTCACTATTATCACTCTTATATGCTCCTTCTGTACATTTCACACCCTGTTCACACTTGTTAAATTGACAATCAACTGCCACCTTTATTCTCACTCAATAGCAATTTTAACCTTATCAAATTTCTATCTTTGTTCCGTTGAGTACCACGTAATTTACAACTTTTAGTTTTCACTTCTAAAGCCACTCTTCTGAGTAATTATATCAATTATGTCACCCCCTATTACTCAATAATAGACCACTATATATATATTTTTTTGTGAGTGTAAATACGACTGTACAGCCAGCCTCTGAGGATGATTTCGTCGATAAAGAACCCAACACTTGAATATCAATGAGATGCTCACTAGAGACTAGCCCTATTCAGGTAGGTAGTTACCTGGGGTTCTAGTGAGAAGTCGTGACCAGTAGGGTGCAGCAGGTCAGGTGTGAGGACAAATACTTGCCGAAGACATTGGCTAGAGGTCGCGCTATGTCGTGAATTAGCAGAAGTTAGAATTCATCGACCATTGGATCGGGTTCCAGTAGCTTATAATGGTCTACGAGCTCGTTAACCTTGTAACCAGAAGGTCCTGGGTTCGAGCCCTGGCGGTGGGTGCGTACTGATGAAGAGTCCCAAGCTAGGCTGACGACACAGCTAACCAGTACTCCCAGGTTTTCCAATGGTTCTCTAACTAATGTCAGCTCATGATGAAATCCTGTAAAGAAAATTTCCTTCGCTAAATCAGTCGGATATAACTAAGCCATAATGACAATATACAGTTATATACAGGAAGTATCATTAGGTAGATAATTAACACTAAAGAAAACACTGAAAATAGTGATTCAATGAAGGAAAGTATATCATACTAGTAGATATATGTATATTTATAAATAGCTAGACATACCTTCATAGGGTTACAACTGTATCTCCACCAGTATAACCAGTTAGGCAATAGTTGACACCCATCTATAGTTAAAATATCATTCCAATGACGAAAAGAACGCCATGCACATTTATTATATAGAAAATTTGACTTTTCAATAATTTGTTCTTGTGTTAAAGTTTTTGTTTGAACGTGTCTAGCTGCTTCACATGAACAGGAGAATTCTATAGTGAAGGGAGGAATTCCACCACCTCGACTTAATCCACTATCCAGTAATAAAACCAAGTAATCCTAAAACACAGATGAATAAATAAGTATTAGCTAAAAAAGAAAAGACGTAATGTCATTGTAAAATAGCCTAAGTCGATATATCTTAGCCCCATAAAGCGCTCATTTCACCATCCCTGTCCCACAACTCACACGATCTCCCTTCATGTCACACTTGGACCAAACATCCCACTTGAGGGTCTGGTGAGTGGTGTCGCTACTCTATAGTCTCCTCAGCATGTGTGTTCAGTCCATTTGCTTCTGAATATATCGCTTGGTTGATAGTTTTTCGGTTGGTTCCTAATCAGAGTTGCCTATTGCTAATCCTTTTTGGCTAGCCATCTGATATTCAGATGCGTCGGTGGCACAGCGGTTAGGACGCTCGCCGACCAGTGTTCAATCCCGGCCACCGACTCACTCCTTTACCTCACTAAACCAGAAATAATGCTGGTAGAGAGGAAAGGTTGGGTATGAGGCAAGCGACAACCCCGTCTTGTAAAATTAAACACTGCTACAGAAACTTGAAGCCACTACTAACTTGAGGACCTATGTTCCACTGGGAACGTGCAGGAAAAAAATCTGATCTTCAGTATTGAGCCAGTGAAGGCAACTGTTGATGAAAGTCACCACCAGCCTGTTGGAAATGCTTTTCGTGATGTGCGCGCTAAGTCTCGGAACCATATAGAAAAAGAAATACTGACTTGACCAGCATAATGGAATTGAAAAGCCGAAGTCTGTTCCTTACACTGGGCGCAACAGATTACGAAACTGCTTTCAGGAGTAATGTGCAAAGTCTATCTTGCTTTTCCGATACTAGCTGACTTTGAGTATGAATACAAGTATCCAGACACAAAGCTGAAGTGATCCACATTTGCTACGATCTACTTAGATATTTGTTAATTGTCTTGTGGGCTACACAACCAAAATGTTTGCATTGCCTTATGCAACTCAAACCAAAATTGAAGGCTTTTCTGAGTTAAGTGAGTAGACATGAAAATTTAGTTTTTTTGAAATCCAATCACCAAAGTTTTAGTAATGTTTCACACATTCACAACGAAATATATATCACAGTGCATGATAATTAGTTTTGAACTGACAGTGCATTCATTATATTGTGACAATTAAAAAATCAATACTAATAGTCATTATCATATAATAGTTTATAAACAAAATAAAAATACTAATCTTAGCAGATATTTGATGATTGTATTTATTACACTTCCTTGTTTGTATAAACACATACAAATTTTCAGTAATAATATCAGATAGTCTATGTTTGGTAAGATAGATATATTTAATGTTTAGTGGTATTAGATGATTGGAAGCCTTAGATCCTGCTAGGTTTTGTGTGGTTGTCGGCACTCATCACCACCAAGGAGTATTTATCTGCGATCAATTTTGAAGGAACTCATGCCGCTTTTGAGATTCAAGTCCGTGTCAATTACTTATTGTCAAATTATAGTATTCAACACACTCCTCCTACAGGAAATCATTCGCGAGCATGAATAGCTCAGTAGTAACGTCTCTGATTGCAGCACTAGTTGACATGGGTTCGAATCTCAGAGTGGAAATGAGTTCTTTCGGGGTTGATCACAGATACACCTTGCTGACTGAAGAGTGCCAACAAGCAAGAAACCTGATTCAAAAGTTTCCTGCCTATTGTCTGCAACTATATAATAACAATGAATCAGAGTGCACCGTGATGTTCAGCTACTGAGAATGGTGGTCACATGACACACTTGACTGACAGAATTCAGTCTGCACCTAATAAAGGACAAAACGCATGACACTAGTTACTTTTCTATAGTTTGGTTTGTAAGGGTTAGTTTTGTTTTTACGAGTTGATCACGGATTGATATCAGTTAGAGAACCATTGAAAACACGCAGGGAGTACTGGACAGCTGCTGTTTCATCCTGGTTTGGGAATCATCGGTTCTCTAACTGATATCAATCCATGATCAACTCGTAAAAACACCAGTTATCACCTAGTGTCCAGTCAGAAAGTTTAGTGTTCTCCGAGTTAAATCACAAGGTGTGACAACTTTTTCAAAAGCACATTATTCAGCAAAAAGAGATTTTTTTTCAACGAATTAATTGTCAAACTGTACAATCATAGATAGATAATTTCTAAGGAACTATATCTCGTGAGGGAATTTAAACAAAAAAGGTGTGAATTTCCAAGTATTTGTTTGTAGGGATTTGATTGATAGGTAACAGGATTTCATCATAAGCTGACATCGGTTAGAGAACCATTAGAAAACCAACTAGGAGTACTGGACAGCTGTTTCCTCTGTCCTAGTTTGGAACTCTTCATCAGTACGCACTCACCGGGGTTCGAACCCAGGGCCTTCTGGTTACAAGGCGAGTGAATCTTTAGCGGGCTGACTTCGGAACTAGGTCTCGTCGGGTCCGATCCCCGGTGATGTCACGGGTGCGTATTACTGAAGACGAAACAAATATGCGCAGTACTCCCTAGTTGTCAGGAATAAATCTTACTGATCATACTTGAAATCAGTTGAACCCCTGCAAACTATCTATCAATTCGAGGGCCTGAAGCGTGATGTAATTCAACGATCTCCACAGCGTGTATAAATACAGCACAAAGATTGCGCGCTCATGTTTGAAACAGAAAAATGACAAAACCAATACTTGAAAATAAATCTGATGCTCACTAGAGACTGGCCCTATTCGGGCAGTTAACCTGGGGTTCTAGTGGGAAGCCGTAACCAGTAGAGTAAAGCAGGTTGAAGATGAGGCAGTAACTCATCGAAGAAGACATTGCGAAATGCTCGTGCTATGTCGTGAATTGGCAGGAGTTAGAAATCAAGAACTATTAGATCGGGTCCCAGTGGCTCAGTGGTTTACGAGCTCGCCTTGTAACCAGAAGGTCCTGGGTTCGAACTCTGGCGGCGGCTGCGTACTGCTGAAGAGCCCCGAACTAGGCTGACGAAACAGCTGTCCAGTACTCCCAGTTGGTTTTCCAGCGGTTCTCTAACTGATGTCAGCTCATAATGAAACCCTCCATTCAATCAGAAAAAATGACAAACAAACAAACTATTATGTAAAAAAATATGTATTGTACTTACTTGTGTAAATGCAAATTCTGTAGGAAATTGAATAAGCAATTGATGAACACAATCAAGAAATAAAGCAAAGCATACACCATCATCATAATCAGAACTAACTGAATTATCATGCCAATCAGTTGGATCAGGAGCAAATGGATAACCATAACGAATCCATTCACGTTCAATTAAATCTTCAAAACCATGAATTGTACGATTCTCTGAGGATAACATTATCTGAATGTAGTATAAAATATGTTCAATAATAATAAGGATGAGTAAATTGAGAGACAAAAAACAAACAAGAAAAGTTTAGATTGGTACAGAGAAGAACAACAACATGACTGTCTGTTTTCGACATAGAACTTTGCACCGATGTGCAGCAGTTCAAGTCGCCACACTCCCTGCATTTAGCACACAAAGCAACAGAAGAAAGTAGAAGATATGCATAATGGAGACAGTACACACAGGTGTGAGACAAAGGAATAGTAATAACGAAGAACAATATAGTTTCATTAGAAATCATAAGTCACAAGGAGTGGATGCATCCGCGCCTGCCATTGAAAAAGATTTCGAGCCATATCACCAATTGTCTCCAGCCTTCATTGGGTTATACCGTCCCGAGGACCCCAACCAGACAGAAGTCTACACCTTCCTACGAGGCTGGCTTGAACTAACTGTTGTAGATTTCATTGACTGATGAGGCCATGTTTTGGTTTGACCGCCGCTAACTCTTTTCCATCCTAATCCATGCTATGTCAGCTAACATTGCCCATTGTCGAGGAAGGCGATGACTAGGTATATGTAACATATATCCTAACCATCTCAGTCGATGTAATTTCACAGCCTCGTCGATTGATTTCCCCTCCTTACCCAGCACTCGACGGACGCCTAACCACAATATTGCTCACCTTATTATACCACTTCACATGAGAGATAGAACGTAAAAACCTATGATCAAAGACAGCTAGCTAGACTCTTCATGTCATCCACTCTCAATGGCCATGCCCCGCTCACAGCCATAAAGGAGGACGGAGCGAAGTGACTGCTGAACAGTGCACTCGCCCTTTGGTCGATAGCTAGCTGGATATCACGTCTACTAAGCCAGAGACGGCGTAAACTGGCATATGCGGAACGAGCCTTCTGTATCCGTACTGAGATTTCGTCAGCGATCGACGCGTTGGCACTGGCTGATGCAACTCCTCAAATAAGTGAAGCGGTCAACGTGTTCTACCACTTCACCTCCTGCTTCTAAGTTAGGAGTCCAGTCCTGTAACATCATCTTACATTTGGCGGGAGCGAATCGCATGCCAAACATTCGTAGATTGTAGCTCAAGGTGTTCAGAAGACTCTGCATTTTGTCAGCGTCCTCGCCTAGAAGGACTTTATCGTCTGCATATTCTAAGTCGACGAGATTATTCCCTGGTAGCAAGTCAATCCCTGAGTCGCTGAAATCACTTAGGGTTAAGTCCATTAGTAAATCTATGATGAAATTGAATGGAAATGGGGATAATGGGTACCTCTGACGGACAGCACAATATGACTGAATGAGTTGCAACATAGGACTCTGAACCGAAGTGCACCAGTTCAGCTGACCACTCTTCATGTAGAAAGATTCCAAAATACTACGCATCAGCAGAAATGTGAGACACACACAGAGAGAAGAAACAGTAACATGGAAAAGCATGAGAATTTAATAGATCTGGGAGATCTCAAAAAGTGAATGGCCTTTGCACTATTTAGAAGTAACAGTCTCAAGCTATTGGTTCTTACTTAGCATCCCAAGCATTGTAACCAGGTATTTCTCACTTCGCTCTATGTGGCTTGAATCAAATGTTAGACTTCATGAACTGATGAGGGATTTTTGTGTGATCAACCCTAACTCTTCTCCAAACTAATCCTATGTAAGTTTGTGGTAAGAGCAGGCTGCTAACCGAATCGGTAAACATTAATTTACATCAATGTTTATGTCCCAAATATTGGTCGTGAGAAAATATGAACAAAGACTGATTCAACAAACGACCACAGCAGACTTTGCGTAGGCGGATATAGTTAACATATAGATGACCTGATATTCAAAAAACAGTCACAGAGAGATACAAGGTCAACTTTCTGTGAGAAACAACCAATCAGAAGAGTGTGTTTGTTTGCTTGAATAAGCTATAATAATGTACATGAAAATATATAAATACGTGTTGATTTCCTTAATAAACGATCTGCTGCCTGGCCCTTGTCTTCTGTTGTTACAAATTAACATAGCTCGATGAAAAAGATGATGGCTTGGTGTATGCGTAACACATATCCTAGCTATATATCTCAATCTATATAACTTCAGGACATCATCGATTAACACCCCAGCCCCCGCACCCCGTTCTTTATTCAGCACTCGACGCCTAACCTCAATACTGTTTAACGCGGTAGACAGAACCCAAACACCTCTGGTTAAAGACAATTCACCTCTTGTTATCTTCCAATTTCCAAAGACATGTCTCGCAGCCATAAAGAACAGCTTCTTATAAGGATAAAACTCGGGCACTGTAGTAGATAGAGTATAACTCCATTATGGATACAATTTTATTTTGATAAAATCACACAGCGTTATACAGTAGTAATATTTACTGTAACACTGATACGATTTCCGAATGTCTAATCATCAATTTTAACTCATGTATATAAATGAAGCAAAAAGTGTTGTGTGAGTGAGTGACTTGATATGATTATGAGCGGCAATAGTTTGTGCTCGAAACGTGGTCATCAGTAAATATCACTACTGAATAACAACACTGTGTGATTTTATCAAAATAAAATTTTATTTATAATGAACAGCTTCTTAGTTCACACGTCTTATGATTAATAGCTAGATATCGCGAACTATAATATGCAATATGCAGATGCAAAACTGTGATTTTTCATATAAGTATAAAACTTGGCCACTCTGGTGGTAGAGTATAACTCCGTTATGGATAAGATTTTATTTTAATAAGCCACACAGTGTTGTTATACAGTAATAATAACTGATGGCCACATTTTGAGCACAAACTATTGACACTCATAATCACATCAAGTCACTCACTCACACAACTTTTTCTCACTTCATTTATATACATGTGTGGAATCGATTAGATATTGAATTAAAAATCAATATTAGATATTGTACATTCAGAAATAATAATATGAGTGTTATTGATCAAATACAATCAGATGGAAAATAAGACGAGTGTTTTAATTAAGTAACTTGTTAGAATGTTATGATGTACGTGAATTGAATTGAAATAGAATTTTAAGATTATTTATTCTCCTCCTCTGATTTGACTGACTGGTGGTAATAATATATTCCATTCATATCTCTGGTATTTGAATTGAGTTATTTCTGTTGCATGTGTTGTGTTGGGTGTAGATTCAATGAACTAGGATTCAGCAATCAATCTCTCCCTCCACCCACATAGATTACTTCTTAGAATTTTAACCCTCTCCCACCATGGTATTGTGTTGTTGTGTGTTAGTGCATGCAGTGCAGTATAGTGCTGAGCTTTTTCCTAAATTACTTATCCTCTCGGGGTCAACCATTCTTCCCTTAGCTAAATTCTTATGTTCTGATAATCTGACTATCCCTGACCTACTAGTTTGACCTATGTAGTTGACCTAACTCACAGTCATTGCAGGGTATTTTGTAAATTAAATTATTTTGTCTAATTGGGTCAACTGGGTCCTTTAGCCTACAGAGCTTGTACTACCTGAGTGAGTTTGTAGGTTTAAATGCCATTCTAATTCCTGCATTATTTAGAATCATACGTAGAGTTTCAGATGTCCCCTCTTTATATGGTATAACTGTAGATGACTTATATTCTCTCTTATTTATGTTATTGTTACTAGTTTCACAATTATTTTTATTTGGCTTTTGGCCTTTTTCGATCTTCTTAATGAATTTTATAGGATAGTTATTTGATACCAACGCTTCTTCTATCTGTTTTATTTCATCATTTAGGTCTTTTTTGTGCTCCTTAGTGCCACTGATCGGTTTGTCAGACAGTTAACTAAGCCTGCCCTCTTCACAGACAGATAACGAATGAGATGAATTAAAGTCTAAATATCTATTAGAATGCTTTGGCTTTTTATAAACGCTAGTGTGTAGTTTACCTTCTTCTGTCAGTTTTATTTTACAATCTAACACCACAGCTAATTCTCCTTGTTCATTTTCCGATTCAAATGTAAATTTTTCAATGATTTTTTTCAGTGATTTTTCAATAGATCACAATCACCACATAGTCATCCTGAAAATATGATCTGTGGCATTACTACTGATGAGTGACAAATGTTCGTCTCTTTGAGATGTGTGTGTGTGCGCGCGGGGGGTGGAGTGAGGACATGGGAATTCTCAAGGCCACTACTTCTATTGATTAGTCTTACACCTGACAGGCGCCAACAAATATAATGCTTTCCATCGATCAAAAACTCATACGAACAAGTGAAATCTCAGTGAGAATACAGGAAATTGTGAATTTAGGCGCTAATTTTACGATTATTTATTATTATTCTTTTACTGTATTCCTTTACTTTCCGAGTGCAACATAGGGCTTCAAGCTGGAGCTTTGAAGCTTCGGTAGCAAAGGTTTAATTTTCACGAAGGTGGGGGGGAGGGGGATGAGGGTCGATACCTTCAAGCCCAACCGTCTCTCTTGACTGGCCTTAATACAGGTTTAAGTGTGTGTCAGTCAGGGTTCGAACCCCGGGCCGAGTGAGTGGTTGACGAGCATTCTACCGGTGAAACACCAAAGTAACAGTTGAAACTAGGCTTTGTGTCCCATAATTTTCCTTGGCAGTAGAGTAAGCTCACTTTCCCACTAATCTACCATTTGTGGAGGAGACTTATGCCATTATGAATAAGAAATTACAATCAATACTGAATGAAGAGATACTGTGGTTAGCTCGCTAATAAATATATCATATCAAGAAGAAGTGGAAAGCTTTGTGTGCATATATAGAACTTCACGGCTGCCCACAACATGGAAGTGGCTTTCTTCTTGGAGTATCTGAAAGAGAAAGAGCATTAGTAGTGTTGTGTGGCCGCGGGGAAAACTGGTTGAAGACTGTTTGGAGTGATTTTGTAGGTTTCACCTGTATGAAGATCATACTTTTCTGGTTACAGACCGCCTCAAGGTAAATTCAGGATGTACAATTTTCGAGGTTGACACTTTTTACTAACCCTCCGTGCTCAGAGTGGGGAGTCAGAACAGCAAGCTTGCTGGTCATCTGAGGGGAACACTGTACTACTGTAGCATCCTTATTTCTCAGCAGTACGACTTCGTTATGCAAACGAACGATCTTCCTAGCATGGTATGATGACCTGAAGGAAAATTACTTCCAGTCGGTATAGTTCGGTGGGTCACTGAGATATACAAGTACGACATCAAGGTAGGAGCTATCGGTCCGGATAGCGTATCACACAAACACAGGGTCTATCTTATTTTATAGAACCAGTGTTGCAATGACTAGCAAAATTAAAACCATTCAAAAAATAATCCTTTTTCATGATACACCGTCAAGGAATTAGAGCAAATCTACAGTCGAACAAAAGATATTGAACTGTATATCTATAACATTTTATAGCCGATATATGGATGATACCTCTATTCTTTGTGATAATGGTTCTGATAGGAGTACAATAATAACTGAATTCAATGAAGTACATTCAGCTATGAAATTTACGCGTGAAGAGGAATCCCAAGGCAGAATTGCCTTCCTGGATGTCCTACTAATAAGAAAACCAGATGGTGGCATAAAAAGAAATTTGCATAGAAAGAGTACTTGGACGGGACAACATACATATTTTCATAGCTTCGTTCCTATCAAGTACAAAATAAATTTAGTGAAGACCCTCATCCACAGAGTTAGAGCTATATACTCAGAAGGCGTAATTGAAGATGAATTAAGCATTGTATATGATACTTTGATCGAAAATAGCTATCCCGAAAAATTTATCAAGAAACACATGACAAATAAAGCGGAAAAGGACTACTCACTATCTGTAAACAAGAAGTCTCTTTATATACGACTACAATTCAAGGGCGATATATACCAAGTGAGATAATTACGAAGAAATTAAGAAAATCAGTTCAAAGAATTTTTACTGCTGGCGAACTACACGTCTTATTCTCTACACGACCGATGGTGATTTCTCGACTGAAAGATGAAGTACCTAGACTAGCCACTACAAATTGTATCTACCAATTCAACTGCGCTGATGTTGGAGCGAGTTATATTGGCCGTTGCTCTAGGAACTTGATTTTTCGTGCTCTCTAGAGAACATCTCCCACTATGGCTAAGTAAAGGTGTAGTTAAAACCAGTAACAGTTCGATACTGGACCATCTGGTGCAAACCGGTGAAGAATCCTTCTCTATAATCTACCGGGTGCCTAATATATTGCCAAAATCATCGAAGCACCGCATACTTCAAACAGCAGAGGCTATTGCAATTTGCCTCAAACAAACAACCAGTGCTCTGTGTTCAAGAGAAGCAAGTCTAGCCCCTACTACTGCCCTGGGTGGTCTTCAGTAGAGACTATAAATTCATGAATTTGTAATATTATCTCTCCTAAATTTTCTGACATTCAGCTTATCTTATGTTGATGCTATTGAGCTGTAATCTATCAGTATCACTGATTCAATGTTAGTTAAACAGCAACATTAATGTTGTTCATAACACTAACTCATTCATTCACTATAATAGATGGATATGTAACTGTAGAGCCTGATGATGAAGGGGTTATCGGAAAGAGTACTCTTTGTTCAGTAATCATTCTTTTGAAGATTTAGTAGAAGTTAGAATTCATCGGCGGGTAGGTGTGTATACTGCCGATGAGACTCCCACCCAGACTAGGACAAATCAACTCTCTAGTACTCCCTACTGGTTTTCAATGGTTCTCATAATGATATCAATCAATCCAAACAAACAGAAAAAAAATCACATATCCACCTACCTACCTGTGCAAGACTCGTTAAAATCGGTTGCCAATTACGTCCACTATCAGGTCCACTTAATACAATTATTGTCCCATTATATCCATTCACCGGTTGTATAGAATACTGATAAATAACACCAACTAATTCATTGGCCTGTTTCAATATAAACGATAACAAATCCAACCAATTTGTTGACAGCAGATTCTCTGACCAATAGGAGCGATGTGGACTACACTGAAATGCCATACTCTCCAATTTCTTTTTATTTAGCAAATTTAATCGGGAATAATTCCTGCCAAGTGACTTAGAAATATTACTACCAATACTTATGCTGTTATTGGTGTTATCATTATTACCACTGTTATTAGTAGGACTACTAAAATCAAATCTCGGCATATCTGATCGTGTAGAATAACGTTTCTCTTCAGATGATCTTAGTTTACGTCTCAACACAATGCCAATATCTTTATTCTTCACCTTCATTGTCTTCTTCTCTTGTTCTTCACTGCCTAGCGAATCAGTTGACAGTGTATCCCAATTCATATAGACAGTATCCGGGCAATTATTATTAGTATTATTATTATTATCTTCGTTGTGATGGTTACTGTCCTCATTACTGAATAAAGAATACTCAAGTACACCTGATGGACTGTTCTCAGCACTACTGTAACTATTATTATTATTATGATCACTAGCAGTGTTATTTGTATAAAAATCAGTTGAAATTTCAACATCTGGTGTGTGAATTTGTGATAAGTGAATGAGATTTTTCAATTGGATCCAAGATTGTTGAATATAACTACGTTTCGGTGTACACCAGTCGACCTGTTGTCTAGCAGTTTCATGCCATTCTCCCGGTTTTCGTAGTAATGATGGTGTTGATGACAGTGGAGGAATATAACCAACAGGTGAAGCAACAACAGAATGGTCGAGGTGGTGGTGGTGGTGATGGTTCAATGTTGACATCGACAAAGTGTCATTCTCTTCCTCACTGATATCACCCGATGACAATGAAGATTCATTATCTGGGAATAAAGGGGTGTATAATTCATAGAAATCTTGTTGTTGTTGTTGAGAATTTTGTCCATTGAACTTTGAACACTTAATTGTTTCTTTTAATTCACTAAACTTATTAGCATAAGATAATTTTATATGTTTTAAAAATAATCTTTGTTGATAGCCTTTTGATGAATAATTGACTGATGATGGATAATTACAATGAATTAATTGTTTAAGATCAAGATCATCATTCAATAATCGTCCAGATCTTAATATCCATACACCACCAGATCGTTGTGTAGATGTGGATAAGTGTGGTAAAGATGGATTAACATTATTATTATTATTCTGTGAATTATTTTCTTTCGGGAAATAATAAAATGATAAAACTGGAAAACGATGTCCAACAAAATAATCACGAAATATAATTACCTAAAATAATTAAAAAAAAACAGGCAAAGATCGGATATAATTTGGCAAAGTTTTGAATTTTTGCATATGAATTCAAGGTTAACCATACTAATCTCTACTGCTGAAGATATTTAACAGTTGCCATCCAACAATAAAATTCACTCTTGAAATGGAAAACGAGTTGAAAATTCCATTTCTTGATGTGGATACTAACAAAAAGAACTGATGGGAGTCTAAGAAGATCTATCCATATAAAAAAAGCCCTACGTGGAATGGTCATCTAACAAGCTTTTATAGCTGGGTGGTACCCATTCAACAAAAGTGGAATTTAATTAAATCACTTGCCACCCGCATCACCCGACGCATCTGTAGAGTCCCGACGTTCTGGAAACAGAATTAGATATTCTAAGAGAAATCTTCATCCAAAATGGATACCCAATAAGATTCATCGACAAAAATATGAAACCAATAATTCGGAGAAACGAAACTTTAATTGCGCCTAAAAAGAAACTCTACATGAACTTAGATTTCAAGGGAGATTTAGCCAGCGATATTATCAAGAGAAGGATCACATCATCTCTGAGAAGAACATTCTTTGCAGCAACGCTAAGAATAGTGTTTCCAGTCGCCGAGTGATCTGCAGAAGCCTCAAGGACAAGATCCCGCATCTGACCACTTCTATGTGCATATATCAGTTCACTTGCTGCTGTGAAGCCAGGTACATCGTTCGTTCGACGCGCACCCTGTCCAAGAGGATTCAAGAACACTATCCAGCATCGTTGCGAAAGGGTAATAGTGGTGCAATAAGGAGTGAGATAGTTGAATACCTGGTTAACACACTGATCATTCCATTTCAATAAACGCCTCCTGCTTCAAAGTAACCTACAGAGTCAAGAATAATCTACCAAAGGCAATATGGTTTCGTCTTCTTTGTATCGATGAAGCTCTGGTCATTCACATAGAAAAACCGGAGCTGTACATACAAAGGAGGATTACTCAACCACTTCCACTGTCATGACAACAACTTTGTCGATTTTTGATGACTTAATTTTGTTTGTTTGCCTGTTCTTTAATTGCTTAGAATTCTTGTATTCACATTTAGAACTCTTACGTAATTTCGTATTATCTACTTTGTTCCAATGTGCATCCTGAGTAAACCTCAATCATCAAACTATTCACATTATTACGTAACTTCTTTTTTAACAACTGATTGTGACAGCCCATCACCTTTGTTACTACCCTAATTTCATTAACACCTAATTTTCTTGACTTGCATTACCAATCTTCACCTGTTTAGTTAAAATAACCACAACTAATTGTAATTTTGTTTGACAAACTTAAATTACACATACATACAAAATAACACATATATATATTTGCCATTGTACAGCTAAGAAAATGAATTCTCCGCCGAAAATAGACTCTTCGCTGATCTACGTGTTTTGTTTTCATTAACCATATTTCATCATATTACATCATTAAGATGACAGGTGAGACTGGTTGGAACCCCAGCTCCTGTAGTAATTGGATGAGCATTTCCGTGCGTCGGTAGTGCAGCGATAGAAAAAGCCTGCCGACCACGCGACACATGGTCTGGGGTTGGATCTCCGGCTAAAGCATTTCCTAAACCTCGTTTAGTCGGTAGTAGGTCGGCTAAAGAGGGAGGGTTAAGCGTCCATCCCACTGTTAGTACCATTCCACAACTGGGTCCCCCATCTGCTCTTCTCTGTGACCATTAATAACGACAAGAGCAGGGAAAACCATTACTTATGGTCTCCTAAGACCAAGCTACCAACTTCATATTGAAGCATTGAACATCATGACAGTAAGCTTCACTCGCCCGGAACTCTGACATCTCGAGGAATGGATATACACACTGTACATGCATACAAGATGGAAGTGTGGCTACTCGCTTAACAGCACCTAACCGACAGGATGAATCTGGAAAATTCAACCTACGAGTGTTTGGAGATTATTCTTCAGCTAGTTTATGGGGCATAAAAATGCTTACCTGAATGGATTCCAGTGGATAGTCGTTCGTGTGGCGTGCCTGTGAACACACACAGGACTTCAATCTTGAGCTTTGAAGTTTCAGGAGCAGTTGTGTTCTTTTTTACAGGAGGGGGTTGCTAACCTCATACGCTCAACGTTCCCTCTCTAACAAGCTTACTGCCGACCAATAAACGTTTAGAAGTGAGTCAGTCAGAAGTCGTCGGCGTGTGTTCTACCACTGGGCTGCCGACGCACTAAGCTCAGTGGCACTATGTAACTTAGATTAATTTTAGCATATATTACATCACGAATTAAAATCAGTTAAACGATGACTGCAAAACCAATCATCCCAATCTGAGACTCTTCATATTGTGAGGCCATTTGGGTCAGAATTCAGTGACAGATGAATCTTAAATATGCCAATTCGTGGTACAGAGCTGCTCTCGACTAAATGTCACCAATGGACACTCATGTCTCCTTGACATGGGTGGGACCACCGCTGACCACTAGATCTCATTACAACTTCAGGATATCCAGCCAATAACTGTCAACGGAGCAAGGATTGATAACTAGGTTATGGCTGAATGGTCAAGGAGCTGACCTATTAACTTGGAAGTCGCGGGGTTGATCCCTGGTGGACTCATGAAACTGTGTCTCTCTGTCTGTTTTCGACATAGAACTTTGCACAGATGTGTGGCAGTTCAAGTCAACACACTCCCTCTTTGTAGCACACAAAGCAACAGAAGAAAGTAGAAGAAATGCATATTAGAGACAGTAAACAGAGGTGTGAGACTAAGGAATAGTAATAACGAAGAACAATATAGTTTCATTGGAAATCATAAGTCACAGGGAGTGGATGCACGTGTTCCAGAAGGAGCGACAGTCTTCTACTGACTCTTACCAACGATACCCTATGGCTATATGGTCTATCTGAGTCCAGTGTTGATTTGGTGACGGATGTTGCCAGGTTACACAATGTCTCTCTTTGTGTGTAAAGTTAGTGCTGACTAGGAACAGATGATTATCTGAGCAAAACTGTAGAAGACGATCACCGTTGTCGGTTCATCGACAGGGAACTCCATATGTACCACCTACATACTTCTCAGTCTGACACAACTTCCCTACTTGGGCATTGAAGTTGCCTGCTAAAACAACTATATCCGAACGTTTTGCTTTTTGCAGCAAATTTGACAGTTTCGGGTAGAAGTTATCCTTTAGATCATCCGAACTGCAGTCTGTTGGGGCGTGAGCGGAGACTACGAAAAGGCAAAGACGGATAGCGCCATCTTTCCTTCTTTTAACGGACCCATTCAGACGGACCGGATACATACGACTATCTACTGGGATCCAGCCAAGAAGTGATTTTTCCGCCTTAACACTCAGTGCTATTCCTACAACTGCGAGTCCTCGCGAGCTAGCTGAAGGATCTCCTGACACCCTTAAAGTGAATTTTGCAGATTCACCTTGTTGACCGGGTGAGGTTAAGTAAATGACCACACTCGGGTCTTGTATGTATGTCTCCGAAACACATCCATGGCTCGAGATGCTAGAGCTCTTGCTGGTGATGCCTGTTGTCCGATTTGGCAGAGGGTCCTGACGTTAACTGCTCCTATATGAAGTTGGCGTCGTGGTTTTAAAAGACTGTCTGGGGTGTTTCTATGGCCCTCACCGTTGTTTGTGGTCACAGAGTGAAGATACCTCACTAGCCTGCAGAATAGTGCTAACTGTAGTAGAGAAGCAAGATGAGGAAGGTGATGTAAGTAAAGGAGAATGATGCTCAGGAAGGCTTCGCGTGCTTCTGGAAGTGTGTGGGCGGTTGTTACTTCCCGGCTGCCCACACCGTGGAAGTTGATTGACTCTTCGGGTACTTGAAACAGAAAGAGGGTTAGTGTTGCGTGGCCACAGAGCCCAGGGGACAACTGCTTGAGGCCGGTCACACACGGCCTGTATGAATTGATTTCTTAGTTTGGTTCCGTATTAGTAAACTTACCGCCGGTTACGGACTACCGTAGGGTAAGTCGGGATGTACAATTTTTGGAGTTGACCTTTTCTAACCCCCTCCCTCCGGAGTGGAGAGACAGCGTAGTGAGGGAAAAACCTCACTGCTGTTACACCCCTGTTCCCCAGCAGTACGACTTCGCCCACAGACCCCCCAGCATAGTGTAAGAAAGATTCTTACGCTAAGCCGGTAACTGCTATTAGTCTAATCGCCATCCTAACAACATTTCTGGCATAGTAGGACCTGCAGGAACAAATAGTTCCAGCCAGTGTAGCTTGTTGGGTCATCGCCATGTGCAAGCCCGACTACCATGTCAAGGAGGTAGCAGCTATCGGTCGGACATGAAACTGTGTACTGATGGAGAGTTGCAAAGCAAGACGAAACAGTTATCCAGTGATTCTCTCTAAGTTTATCGTTTTATACAGTCTCGACAGAGATTTGTTTATCTAAGATATTTAGGTATAACGCCTTTTAAAATAATCACAAAAAGAAGCGGGTCGAGCAGAATTATAGCCCACTTGTAAAGGTGAGTCGGATTAATCTGATGCATGTTCCCTCCACCCCAGTGAAAACTAAGGGAAGTGAAGCTTCCAAGTGTGTGTGTGTGGGGGGGAGGAACAAGCACTATAAAGAATTAAGAGTGTCCATCGTTTTCACCCCTTGCGTCCCGAGTAGACCATAGGACATCAAGCTTTCAGTAACACAGCCGCTAATAGCTTAGAGAGATTCAGAGACGTGGACCTCCCGCATATAGCTGGCCACCAGCAGCATGCTACTACCATTGAACCATCGATGCACAAAAGTCAATACCAGGAATTATTTATTCGTTAATTCAAAGTCAACCTGTGTTCAATGCAACAAGTAATAAACAATCTAGTTAGTGTAATTTTCAGTGTTGTAACGAACAAACTTATGATTAATCAAATAAAAATAATTGAATAAAAAACACAAGGAGATAAACTTACAGAAGATTTAAATGCAAGTGTCGGGATCTGCAAAGGCAGTGTACGACAATAAGCAAAATCAGTATTTTCAATTAATTCATAATCGCCTTTTAAACAATCATACCATTTTGCCTTTAATCTAGACAATGGATTTACTGGGGTACAATTAATTGGCTGTATATATATAAAAACATAAAAAAAGAAACATAAATAAAATTAACAGCACTAATAGTAATAATTGTGAAAATTCATAGTAACCACACAACCCTTGATAAATCAAAACGGGGATAAACTACTCGATTCTTATGACAGTTGTAAGATTGACGACAATGATATAGGAATTAAATCAGAAATTAGGTATCTTGGACTTATCCTCTTTCTTCTGATCTCTCCTGGTATTCCCATGTCTTAGCACTCTTTAGTAAAATATTCCGCCTGACATTTTTTTCATTAAGAAGTTAAGGCATTCGGGTATAACTCGACCCCCACCCCTCTTAGAGTTCATAAACTCTTGCATCATACCTATTCTTCTTTATTATTCACCCTTATTCTTTCCTGGTTTGCTTAAAATGGGACTGTGTCACAATTCGTAGAATGCTGAAGACTGTCAGTAGGGTAAGTGGTGCCCCAGTGGAGTACATAGTTAACGTCGTTGTCGATAGGCACTTGACTTCGTGCAATAAATTTGCTATAAAGGGATTTTGTCTGACTTGGAGCATCCACTTTAGTCTCAACTTTCACCTTGCATCTCCTCAGGTAGAACAAGAAGTAACTTCAGAAAACTGTATGCTCGCACGTCTAAGTATAGAAATTTTACGATACCATACTTGGCACGTATTTTATGTGATGAAAATAGTGTCAGGCAAGAATTAACTAACCTTTTTTCATCTAGTAAATAAAATATTTCCTCCATCCATCCTTATATACCTTCAAGTTTTACTTTTATTCTTTTTATTATATTTATGGTCCTGTTACTTCTTTGTTTTACTCTCATAATTTCAAACACCAACGTTTCTCTATGATAGCTGTAATCTTTGTTTTTCCCCTCACCATATCATGTAAAGAGAACGTTATATTCAATATTTTTAAACATGTTAGGATTTCTATACCTCATTGACAATACAGTGTGACGAAAGCCAACGGCAATTTCCGCTTGTATTATTATTATTAATGCCTTAGCTGTTATCATTATTTCCATTTTATATGCTGCATGTTTTTGACACTACCCCTATTGTAAATGTGGAAAATTTTCTGTGTGATTAATTTTATTTATAATTTGAGGATATTAGATGCAATATTGTGATTAATGCTGAAAATTCCATTCTGTATCACAAGTACTGTTTTTGGAATAAAGTAAATCATTATTTTTGTTATTATTAGCCAACAAAGTTAGGGAGTGAAACGGGTGACTAATGTGGCAAGTTACAGCAGTCCTCCTAATGGACTAACGGCTGGTAAAATCTAAGCATGGATACAAAGGGTTTGTGTGACGTTTGGCAACTCACGTCATCTTCGGCGTAGACATGGGATCAGGCTATCGATCAAAGGTGGTGTACACAGCGCGGTAGTTCGCTCTACCCTCCTTCATGACTGTGAAATATATTCATTGAAAGCGGAAGATGTGAAAAGGTTAGCCGTCTTTGAACACAGATATTTCCATCCCATCTGTCGTGTTAAGTGGAATAAAACAGTCAGTAATACTGAGGTTACGTGTAGAGTCAATCGAGAAAGTTGTGGAGCTACATCGATTGTAATGTCTGTAACACAGATTACGCATACCAAGCCACCGCCTTCCTCAGTGAATAATATTAGTTAACATAGAAGTAGGGTTTGTCATGCATAAACCTGTCATCAATCGGTGAAGTCTTTTACACAGTTGCTGTGAGTCATGTGAAAAGGTGTAGACCACCTGGCTAGAGTCCTCATGATGCTAAAAAAGCAATAGCTTGCAACTGTTGGCGGTTCTTAGTGGTGCAGATGCATTCGCTCTTCGACATCTTCCAGATCCATTAAATTCTCATGTTTTTCGAGGTTACAAATTCTTCCTCCCGTACACACATTATTTCTCTCGATAATAATCCTTTTGAATTTCTTATCTTCCCTCTTTTCTCTACCGTCGTATGCTACGTGGAGTGTGAGCTGAAGCAATTCTTTGCAGGGTTCTACGTCGAAACTCAGTCGGTCAGCCATGTGAATGCATATCGACATTTATTCTTTATGAAAATGTACTGGATATAACCAGTACAATCTACGAATGTTTGGCATACGATTCGCTCCCGCCAAATGCGAGATGATGTTACAAGCCTGAATTACACTGACTCTTAGTTTAGAAATAGGAAGTGAAGTGGTAGGGCACGTTGACTGCTTCATTTATTTGGGGAGTTGCATAAGCCAGTGCCAACACGTTGATCGCTGCCGAAATCTCAGGACGGATACAGAGGGATAGTTTCGCATATGCCAGTTTACGCCGCCTCTGGCTTAGTAGACGTGATATCCGGCTGGCGGTCGGCCAAAGGGCGGGTGTACTGCTCATCAGTCCTATCCGTACTCCTTTACGGCTGTGATCGGGGCATGGCCATTGAGAGTGGAAGACATGAAAAGTCTAGCTAGCTGTCTTTGATCATAGGTCCCTGCGTTCTATCTCCCGTGTGAAATGGTATAATAAGGTGAGAAATATTGAGGTTAGGCGTCGAGTTCTAGGTAAACAGGGGAAATGAATCAACGAGCCTGTGAAGCTACATCGACTGAGATGGTTAGGACGTGTGTTACGTATGTCTAACCACCGCCTTCCTCGATGGGCAATCTTAGCTGACATAGGGTCAGGCTGATTAAGAGCTAGCAGCGGTCACACCAAAACATGGCTTCATCATTCAATGAAATCCACAACAGTTAGTTTAAGCCACCTAGGAAGGTGTAGACTTCCTTGTTGGGGTTCTCGGGACAGTAAAAACCAATAGTTGGAAACAATTGGTGATATGGCTCAAAATCGTTCTCCATGGCTGGACGCAGATGCATCCAATCCTTGTGACTTATGGTTTCCAATGAAACTATATTGTTCTTCATTATCACTATTCCACACACCTCTGTTTACTGTCTCTAATATGACTTTTTTCTTCTTTTGCTTTGTGAGCTACATGGAGTGTGGCGACTCGAACTGTCGCACATCGGTGCAAAGTTCTATGTCGAAACAGACAGACTGGATATAAACTTATAGCTGATAAGAAAAGCCGTTTTAGATAATAAGATAATATATTTAAAACGTAGAAATATATATTTTTTATTTTTATATTTTTATTCCTTTACGTTCCCAGTGGAATATGGGGCTTGAAGCTACCGGGCATGTTACTGGCTTACTGAGGCAAAGGAGTGCGCCGGTCGGGGATCGAACCCTGGAACACATGAATGGTTGACGAGCATTCTACCGCTGTGCCACCGACGCATATATATATATATATATATATATATATATATATATATATATATATATATGCCTGAGAGATTTGGCGCATTTCCAACGATCTATTCAAGACTTTCACAAATGTGAAATCAGTTCTTCATTACGGATTGGAAAGTTGCACTGCGTGTCACGAAAAGGATTTTCAACGAGTTACAGACTTTAATCAACAGCTACCACCTTCGCTGACTGGCTCCATACTGAAGATCAGATGGCCAGAAAGAATCGGCAACAAGAAACTCTGGCTGGGAACAACCGATCAAGAGCCGACTGCTCAACCAAAATGCAGGAGAAATGGACAAGGATCCGACATACGTTGAGGAAGACGTCGAATGACATCGCGTTCAATGCAGGCCATTGCTCCAGTGGAATCCCGATGGGAAGTGAGGAGTGAAATGGAGGAGATGCTGTGTGGAGGGGGAGATGACAGAATATGAGCAATCGTGGACCCAGTTGGAGAGGACAGCAGAAAATAGAACAAAGGGGAGATGTGCTGTTGAAGCCCTACGTTCCACTCGGAACCCGAAAGAATAATAAATGATAACAATTATAATAAATTTAGGACTTCTATCAATAGGTGAAAACTTTGCTAGCTCGATGCTGATGATCATATGGTCGGCCAGAAACGATAAGCAACAAGGAACTCTGATAGTGTAACAAGCCAACCAAGAACCTATTACCCAACAGATAAGCAGGAGGCAACTGAGATGGACTAGACATCCGCTAGGAAGACAGTTGAGTGACATCATATGCCTAGACCTCAGCTGAGAACCACATGTTGGACGTTGTTCCGAGAGTGACACTGAGGAGATCGTGTTTAAGAGGGAAGAAATGAAGGCTTATGAGTGAGTAATCATGGAAACAAATAAAAAGGATATAGCAGAGAACATTATGAAATGGAAATGTCCTACTGAAGACTAAAGTTCCCCTAGGAAGTAAAGGCGTAACAACAGAAGACAAGGGTCAGGCAACAGATCCTAAACAAAGCCTTTGTTCTCATTTTTCTCACGACCAATATTGGGGACATAAACATTGACGTTAATTACTGTCGACCAATTTTGGCTAACAGCCAGCTTTCACCACAAAGGAAATAGTCGTAATAATAATATGATAAAAATTCACTTATTACGTTGACCATACACATGCACAGAAACAGAATCATTCACTAGGTTGATTAGTTACATCGATTGAAATTGTCAGGACATGTATTACACATGCATCCCTAGCCATCGCCTATCTCGACAACGGGCTATGTTAGCTGACAAATGACCGATGAGGTTGGAAAAGAGCTACTAGTGTTCAAACGAAAACATGGCTTCATCAGTTAATGAAATCCACAACAGTCAGTCAGCCACGTAGGGAGGTGTGGAGTGCTTTCTCGTTTTTTTTCTTTCCTTCACATTCCCCAGTGCAACATAGGGCTTCAAGCTAGTGGCTTGAAGTTTCTGTAGCAGTGTTTAATTTTACAGGATGGGGTTGTTGCTTGCCTCATGCCCAATCTTTCCTCTTTACCAGCATTATTTCTGGCTTAGCGAGGTAAATGAGTGCGTCGGTGGCCGGGGATCGAACCCCGAACCATGTGCATGGTCGGAAAGAGTGTCCTAACCGCCATATGCCAACGAGGCTTTCTAGTTGGGGTCCTCGAGGTGCTAAAAACCACTGACTGGAGACAATCGATGATGTGACTGAAAATTTTTCTTAGTAGTGTTGCAGAGGCATT